ATAGAATAGTTTTTAGGTGTAAATAAAAAGAAAACATTTTCACTTTTAATAAATTATAATAGTATTAAAAAGAACTCCATTAAATTATTTTGTTATTAATTATCTAGGCGCGTTCATAGATAAAAAAAAATCTCCCAAGATATTATTAGAATTCATTGGATAATTGATCTTAACGTATTGATTGATTTGTAATAATTAAACACACACCCTAGAAGTTTCATTAAAATAGTTCATTGCTCCTATTCATAAATTTTTGAACTTTAAGATAGCGGGTTTAACTATTTAAATACGAAAAAGTAACGTTTACCATATTCAAACAGTAGGGATGGTAACGGTTGGTCATGCTACCGGTTGACCGATTAATTTATAATTTAATTATCGCATGATTGAAATTTAACATTTTTGCTTAATGTCGAAATGTTGGTCGGTCACTATAGATGTTACACACGTGATTAGTGTAACCGGGACTATTATAATCGGAGCATAGGGTACTATAGATGTTACACCGTGGCATTTGGGTTAGGGCGTAGCATTAGCATTAGGGTTAAGACGTGAATCGTTTAGGGCTATTGTTAGGAAGTTCGGAGGGAAAGGTCTGTCAATGAAAGTCGGCCGCAGGCCACGCAGCCAACGGCTGCGCAACGTTTCCGATAAGTTGCGTGAAATTATGTGTACCAAAAATCACGTGTCTGAGGATATGGATGTTACACGTGATTCCTGTTATTATAATTAAATCAAATTTAAAAACTTTATTAAATTATTAGATTAGTAAACAAAACATAAAATGTATTTTATAGCAAATTTAAATTTTCTCTCTCTTGTATCACTATTTAAATAATTACTAACAAAAAATTAAAAAGTTAATAAAATAAATTTATTATATCAATTGACCTTCCTTGTGTTATGTGTAATCGCTAAAAACACCAAACTAAAATAAAAATGTCAAGCTCGAAAAAATTGGAACGTGACAGCGTGACGCTCGCTTCGGACGCACAACGGTCTCCGTTGCCTAGTTATATAAACAATCTTTAAAAATGCCACTGTTAACTTTACCTTTTGCATAGAACGTAAACGTCCTCCGCTTTCGCTTCGGACAATAATAATATTTTATTTTGATTTACTTATTCTTTATGTCATTAAGTGCATTCAGTTGCGCAGCATTAAATATGCAGTATAATTAAATAAAAAAAGTATATTATTTGTTAATTTAATTATTACACGGTGGATAATTATAACGTAACTTCACGGTAATCGCTGATAACTAAGTTACTATAGCAATGCATTAGTGGATAATCTCCACAAGTTGTCATTTGTTTGTTGGTCTTTTCTTTGGGAGCAGTTCTTATCAAAAAATGTTCAATGCATCAAACAGTTCCGAGTTCGGAAATCGTTCTTTAATGCTTCGGTTATTGCTATAGCATAATTTTTTACAAAGCTTGGAAGATAATTTGAAATAATTTTCTCGCGGTCCATGTAATTACGTAAAATAATTCCATATGTAGGTAATATATTGATATATTCAATAAAATCTGTAGAAATAGTTTCAATCTCTGCTTTTAAATGAGGTTTAAAATGAGAAAGTGCTGGTATCAAGTTTTTTGTCTTCTATACTTCTAATGAATCTTCATTTAATGAAGCTAAAACCGATTCCATCATTTTGTATAGATTTCCTATTACATTTGATAAGGAGAGCCATCTTGTTTCAACAGTTTTTAATATTTCTAAGATTGGCTCATCTTTTATATCCTATTAGAAGAAAATACGGGATCTTCATCTCTCTGAAATAT